AAGTGAGTCAGATTTAGAACAGTTATGGAAAAATGGTAGACAGACCAACAGCAAAAGATTTAAATTTGGCATGGATCAATTTTTCTGAGCTTAGATGTGACCTGAAGGCAACATTCACGGAGAAGATAGTGAAAGTTTAGAATCTGAACAAATATATTCACAAAAAGAAAAAGACTGAGACTCACCAATCAAAATTTCCCACCCTCTAAACATCAACATCTCCCACATCTACCTCCACCTGAAATATCAAACAGAAGACTGGGTAAGGTGAGGCAAAAATTACTCTCAACAGATAGATGCCAAGAAATCCACAACCTGCCAAAAGCCTAAGTAAAATAAGAGGAGGAGTGGAATTAGAAACCAGATTAGGAAAGCAAAAAGAAACTATGAAAAGATATAGGCAAGGAAAATCCAGGAAAACCCAAAGATCTTTTAGAAATGGATAAAGAGCATAAGAATAACAAAGGAAAGGGTCTGGCTTAACGAAGACCAAAAATAACTGAGGACGGGGACGATGAGGTTCGCAATGAATAAGTTTGCATCTGTCTTACAAAAAGAAAAAGATGTTGCAGACATCGTGAAGGAGGACGTGGGTGTGAAATATTGGGTGAGATAAGCATAGCGATGGAGGAAATGTTAAGGTGTATTGGATCAACTGAGGCATCTGATCCATAGGGAACATTGGATCACTTTGTGAGCATTCATTTACCTAACTGGGGTATTCTACCATCTGAATGTTTTCAGTGTCCTGAAGCTAATAGATCTGTGTGTATTATCTGGGATTATTAGAGGACCCAGGATATTAATCACAAAGAAGAATTAGATCAACAAGAAGTATTAAATCATCTAGGGGGTTGAGGTATTGGATTTCCTGGCCATGTCTGATGACCTGAGATTAGTAGTTACTTCATTTGAGTGTGCTGGATCACCTGAGCAACATAGATCACATTAGCATGTTAAAACATCTGTTGATATTAGAATACTTAGGCCTATTAGATCATTTGGATGCATTTCATTACATGAATGAATTCAAACATGCAGATACAATAGATCACCCAGTGGCACCAGATAACTTGGAGAAATTAGATGACATGGAATATGATCAAAATGTGCCTTGGATCAGCTGAGTTATTATATCACATAAAAGGATTGGATCACCTGGTGCTGTTAGACCAACTGAGCATATTAGATCAACAATTTTTAATAAATCAACTGGTTATATTAAATCTACTGAGGGTTGTTAATTACTGAAATGCATTGGTCACCTTTAGGTACTAGCTCTTGATATATTGAATTATCTGAAGGCATTGGATTGTCTGGGCCTATTAGATCACTTGATTATATTAGATTATTCATTTCCATCAGTTTATCTGAGTGGGTATGATAATCCCTTTAAGATCCATGGGGAATCACTAATTAATCTTTCTCTGGAGCTCAGAGAATTCAAGTTCCCTTGGTAACAGGCAATGGTCTGTCCAGCTGGAACTCATCACCTAAGCCCTTTGTAAAGCAGACTGAGGGATGGGTCTGCAGAACTGCATGCCCTAGGCTGGGACTAGCCTATTTACGTCATGAGTAGTGGTTCTATTTTGGTGTTCAACAATAAATGATGTTCCTTTCCAGTCAGGCTTTCTGAGTTATTAGTGACCTATGTCATCTCTAGTTATTAGATTACATCAGGATATTGGATCAACTGAGTCTATTAGGTCATCCATATGTAATCAATCCTGATTGGACAAGATTCGAGTGATCACCTGATGATATTGTATCAAATTAAGTCGCTGGATCACCTCAATGTATTGGATCTCCAAGGGTCATCGTATCACCTGTTTACATGGGCCACATGCAAGTGTTGTGTTATCTGAAGGAATTAGAACACAAGGAGTATTGATTCACCAATCATATTAGATCACGGTTGGATATTGGATCACTTGGGGGTATCATATTATTTTAGACATGTCAACTGAATGTACTAGATCACCAGGAGTACAAGATCAACAGAGGATATTAGATCAACTTAGAATAGTTAGAGCAGAGAAGGTGGTAATTTACCCCATTGAGTCTGTTCTGGATCTTAGCAAAAACCATCCAGATAGTTCTATTCCCTTGCCCTGTCCTTGTAGCCCTGCAAAGTTCTTTTCATTTCACATGCTCATCTAATTTCATTTTGAAATTCACAATTATATTTTACTCTGCCGCCCTTTCAGGATGTAAATTTTAGACCATAACCATTCACTGAAAGACATTTTACAACATGATGGTGTGATCTTTAAATCTGTAATCCTTTGGTTCTTGTTGCAGCCATCATTGGGAACAGATTCTCTCTTTTTTGACTCATGATTTTAAACTGCCATAATCTTATCTCAACCCTCTCTTCTTTTATGGTGACCAATGCAATGCTCCAATGCTCCAATCTATCCATGTAATTGAAGTTCATCGTTCCTGTAACCATTCTCTTCAACCTTTTCTGCACACTCTTTCAGGCCTTTACAAAGATCTTGTGGCATAGTGGGTAGCATCTCTGCCTCTGACCCAGACCTTCTGGATTTGAGGCCCATCCCAGAGCATGATAACCATAGGAGGTGCTTCAAAATGTGGTCAAACCAACATGTGAATCGTACAATTTCTGTGTGTGCAATCTGTCCTCATAATTTAATGTAATCTGAGTTGATGGATATTACTTCAGTAAATCTATGCTGCCTTTCCTTTAAGAAAATAGATTCATCCCAAAGTATAGTGCTGAGAATTGCACAGAGTATTTGAGGTATTGGCCAAACAAAAATTTGCACAACTGAAATATAACTCCTACTCCCTTGTATTCCAGTTCTCTGAATACAAAGTCCAACATTGCCTCAGATCTCTCCTGTACGTGCTTCTGTGCATGAGCTGTGCACCTGGGCCCTCAAGTCCCTCATGAACTTTCCTGTTTCTAGATTTGTTTCATGTAGACTAGAGTTCATTTAGGTGCAAAGTGGTTAATCTCATATTTGCCTTAATTGAAATCCTTTTGCCCATCCATTTAATCTGTCAATACCTCTCTGTAATTCTGTGCTTCTATCTACAATGCTTACAAAGCACTCATGCTTGTGTCATCAATAAACTTTCTACCACATCGTCTAAGTCCTTAGTAAATAATGAACAGTTTTGCAACACCAACAGTGATCTTTGCAGGATGCTGCTGGTCACATTCTGCCAATTAAAATATCTGCCCATTTTCTTTGCTTTTTATCTCCTGCCACTCAGCCAATTTCCTAACCAGGCTGGTAAATTCCTTACAATTTCATGAGCTTCAACTTGAGTTAACATTCTCAGATGATTTGCTTTATAGAATGCCTTCCAGAAGCCCGTATAAATACACCCATGAACATGGCCCATTTATCACCTCTTCAAAACATTCAAGTATTTTTTTCAGACATGATTTAACCATTACAGATCTATGCTCGTTCATTCTCATCTGCAAATTGTCAAGGTGTTTAATTCCTCCTTCAATTGGGGTATAAGAACACTTCAGCATATTACATCACCTGGAATTATATCCTCTTGGAAAACTGACACCTTGGAAGTACTGGATCAATAAAGTGCATTAAAACAGTTTGTGTGTCAGATCTCCTAAACTGAATAGATCACTTTGGCAGTATTGGATTACGCAGGGGAATTTGATGCCTTTGTATTAGATCATGTAGGCAGAACTAGATCACATATGAGTAGCAGATCACTTGGAGTTTTCAGTCACATGAGAGTGTTGGATGATCAGAATTCGATATATTGAATTGCCTAGGCATTGTGGATAACCTGGATGTATTAGATCTGGTTATAATGGCTAATCTCATGATTCCGAATTACATAGATGTATTAAGCTTAGAATATTCAAACATTTAGAGACAGTACTCCACCCAAATTGGTAACACCAAGTCAGAATATTAAATATAACAGGGGTGTTTATGGGTATTAGTTATTGTTCCACTGGATTACCTAGGTGCATTGGCTTGCATAATTGGATTGGAGCACCTTGGCAAATTAGATTACTGGAGATGTTAAATCACTTTGTTGTGTAAGCCCTGGTTGCATCGTATCACCTGGCACCTGTCAATATTGGACCCAGATCACAGGTGTATTAGATAATGTGTGTATTATATTGCCAGGGAGTACTGGATCACATAAGAGCATTAGATAACTACATCACCAGGATTATATCACCAGCATGTAATACATCAGTTGGGCACTTGTGTTGGATCACACGTGGACCTGGGATTATCCAGGGATGCTAGATCACATGGGGTAATTAGATCACTTGAATGCTTTGGATTATCTGCGTAATTGGATCCCTGGAAATGCTGAATTACCTGCATACATTAGATGACCTCGGGATATGAGATGAGTTGGTGTACCCGATCACCTGGGGTACTGGATGGCCTGGGATATTACGCCACCGAGGATATTAACTTATTTCATTTGACTAGATCGTGAGAAATATTAAATCACTGGGAATATTTGATGGCCCAGGAGTAGTAGAAGCTCCAAGTCTAATAAATTACCTGAGTAGTATTAGGCAAGCGAGTGGATTAGATCACCTGGAGATAGTCAAATGCCTAAGTGTTACAGATTATCTGGACTTGCTAGATGACCTAAGAATATCGGATCATCTGGAACTCATCAATCATCCAGGGTATTGGATCACTTGGAATTTAGAACACTTGGGTGGTAGCTGTGACTGCATTGGATCACCTAGAGAGATTGACTCACACAAGAATATTTAATTACTAGGGTGTATTGGATCAATTAGGTATCAGATGATTTGGTGATATCAGATGACCTGGGTAGGTTATCTTAGTTTGGAGTATTAGATCACCTGGGGTTAGTGGTGTAGCCAAATTGATCAACAGGACCGAGAATATTTGTCTTCATCGCACCTTCTGTTGAAACCATCAATAAAAGGTATATTTCTGCTTTCACAATCCAAACACAGATAGCGTGAGAACTAAAAGTCAAATATTACATACCACCTTTCATCATGCCCACTTCATAGCATTTACGCAGTCTGCAGGCTTGGCAGCTCTTCCTGCGATTTTTGTCGATGGTACACTGGTTTGTGGCAGGGCACATGTAGTCATTGTGTCCTGGAAAGAAAAGAGAGATCCCAGATAAATTTCAACCGCAATAGACAATTCTCCTATCTCAACAACAACTTACATTTATTATAGCGCCTTTAATGCAGCAAAACATCTGAAGGCACTTCACGGGAGCATTTTCAAACAAATTGGATGCCACAAAGAGATTCTAAGGGAGGTGACTAAATGCTTGGTCAAAGACCAAAGGTTTAACAAGCATCTTGAAAGGAGGAGAGGCTGAACAGTTTAAGGATAGAATTTCAAAGGTTAGGCTTAGATTTTTGAAGGCATGTCTGGAGCAATTATGCCGCACAACAAGCCGGAATTGGAGGGGGGTGTTGGGGACAAAGATCTTGGATGGATTTGGGGAGTGTATGCAAATAAAAAAAAGACATGTTGATGGAGGGATTTGGAAACACAGGTGAGAACTCTAAACTCTTCTTGCTTTAATTGCTAGACCATGAACAAATGTAGATAAATGAACACAGGGATGACAGGTGAACTTGCTGTAATTTAGGACACTGTACAATTGATTGCCTGGTAGTCAAGCCACATTGTTCCACAAGTCACTCCATGACTGTATGTTTTGATTTGATCAACAAAATGGTCAACTGTTTTCCTTATGAACTGCAATCCAGAATAAAAGAGACTTTCATCAGATTCCTGCAATAATCAGTTTATTCTAAACAAAACTAATTCCTAAAAACAAATGACAAAACTGCTTAACACACAAATCATAAACTAGATTTGGAATTGTTGCCCTTTTGATCCCAAGCAGACACACACACACAACACAAAAGACAGCAAAGGCTTTGCAGAGATGATATTTTTAAAAAGGCAAAGGAGAAACACCCTTACTTGTCAATGATCTGGAAAGCAAAGAATTGAAGTTAATGAATTTTCTTAGTCCACTGGATTTCTTGACAAAATGGAATTTCTGACAGCCATAGACCAATGGGAGATTTTCTAAACATGCTTTAGTTTGGATGGAAATCAAGTTGGTTCCAAGTTTTTGAAAACTGGTCAAAGTTTAGTTTTTCAGGTTTTACAAGTTAGTCAATATATTGAGTTATGGAAACTTTCTTTTGGGCTCTCTGGTACTTCAACTATAAGGGAAAGAAAGAATTGCAGACTTTAACGCTTTGGGGGTTTACCTTCTTATGACTCACTAGGTTTATGAAACAGAAACCAAGTCCAGAAAGTATTGTTAGGCAACAATCACTACATGGCCAGATAGTCTCCTCCAAAGCCAGGTTTTCCAGCAATTAAGGGCAATTAACCCCATCTCTTATCTCCCTAAGAGCTTTGCTTGGCTATTTTCCAAAGTCACTTGATTTTCTGTAATCAGCAAGTGGATCCTTGCCCACATTAATCTGTTAATTAATGTTAATAATCATTTATAGTTCTGATTTGGAAGGATTTGCAAGGGTGCAGCATCCCTTTTAGTCAATGCACAGATTTCAGCTTTCCACCAGTGATCTGAGCTTTGCATTTGGGTTATTTATCAAGGAACTCCTTGCTTACAGATTCTGGAAGCACATCGTGGCATTCACAACATTGGACAGAAAGCAGAGTGTACCCATGATTCTACAATATGAGTCATTTGTAGGCCAAAGCCCCACATCAGTAAACTCATGAAAACTCAACTGAGTGCCAGAAAATAAGCCAACTTAACCTGGACCAAGAGAAATGGAGCTATTCAAGTTTCCTTTTGGGGTCCAAGGTACTGAGGTCAACATAGGCATCTCCAGAAGCTACACCAGAGCTTCAGTGGCCATGCTATAACTGCTGGGGGTAACAGTTCAAAGAAGCCATAGCATAGGCTTCTGAGAATGTGATGAAATTGGTCAATAATTATTTGTAAGGAGTTAGGATCTAATTGCTATACCAATGTAGATCCAGGGTGTCACATACACAACTGTACAGCAGTCAGGCACTAAAGAGTCTGAGTGCACAGCAGATGGAGAGCTCTGAGTGATGGATATCTGCAAAAAAGCTGTGCCATTTGTATCTAAACGTGTGATTCGTTTTGACAGCTGGGAAGCACAATTTGCTACAGCGTCAGCTTTACGCAATTGAAAATATTGTTGAGATTGCCAGTCGTAGCCCAGGAGTGAGATAAAGGAAAAGACAGAGGATCTGTGGTAACTATTTTTGCAACAGGCAATGCAGTGCCAATGGCAGATCTAGCTTCAGAAGTCAGCATGATTAGGTGACAGCCTCCTGAAGAAGATTGATCTCCTTCTACATCGTTCTGTAATGTGCCAAGTAGATAACCAGAAGTCTACAGAGCCAAATGGGAGGGTGCAGATAACTGCAATATCCCCATCCCTCTGCAATATCCCCCATCACTTACTGCTGGTGAGAATGGCCTTTCTTTCAGAAAATAGGCAATGTCCAACATTCTGAGGGCTGTCCATTAACGCCAGAAAAACGAAAATGTCAATTCTCCATTGGGAAACTATATTTTGTTAAGTACAGACTGGATTCAGAGTCATAGAGTTGTACAGCACAGAAATAGACCCTTCAGACTAACTTGTCCATGCCGACCAGATATTCTAAATTAATCTAGTCCCATTTGCCAGCATTTGGCCCGTATCCCTCTAAACCCTTCCTATTCATGTACCCGTCCAGATGCCTTTTAAATGTTGTAATTGTACAAGCCTCCACTACTTCCCCTGGCAGCTCATTCCATACATGCACCACCCGCTGTGTGAAAAAGTTGCCCCTTAGGTCCCTTTTAAACCTTTCTCCACACACCTTAAACCTATGCCCTCTAGTTTTGGACTCCCCTTGGCTATTCACCCCATTTATGTCCCTCATGATTTTATAAACCTCTATAAGGTCACACCTCAGCCTCTGATGCACCAGGGAAAATAGCCTCAGTCTATTTGACCTCTCTCTATAGCTCAAACTCTCCAACCCTGGCAACATCCTTGTAAGTCTTTTCTAAACCCTTTCAAGTTTCACAACATCCCTCTAGTAGCAAGCAGGGAGACCAGAACTGAACGCAGTATCCAAAAGTAGCCTAACCAATGTCCTGTACAACTGCCTCATGACCTCCCAACTCCTATACTCAATGCACTGACCAATAAGGGCAAGTGTACCAAACGCTTTCTTCATCGCCCTGTGACTCCACTTTCAAGAAACTATGAACCTGCACTCCAAGGTCTCTTGGGCAATTAGACTAGGCTTGTCAAACAGGTAGCAGTGTGTGTGTGTGTGTGTGTGTGTGTGTGTGTGTGTGTGTGTGTGTGTGTGTGTGTGTGTGTGTGTGTGTGTGAGAGAAAGAAACAGTGAGGGAGTTACAGAGAGTGTTTGGCCAAGGGACTGACAGTGTGTGAGGAAGTCAGAGAATGTGTGAGTGAGGATTTGCAATAGTGGGCAAGAAGTGATAGATTGGGTGAGTGCATGTGTAAGACAGTATGTGGATATGAAGGAAAGAGACAGAATATGTGTGTGAGGGAGTGAGAGAGAGTGGGTGAATGCACGTGTGTGTGAGGGAGTGAGAAAGAGAGAGAGAGGGACTATGTGTGGGAGGAAGTGAGAAAGATTGAGCAAGTACGTGATGGACAGAATGTGTTTTTGGGGGTGGGTAAGTGAGTGAGACGACATTTGTGTTTGTGTGTGAGAGTGTGGGTAGTTGGGACGAAGATAGATGGGGAATGTGTGCGTCTAAATGTGTGTGCGCGCCTGTGTTGTGTGTGTGCATGCATGTGAATGTGTGTGTGTTTGTGCATGTTACCATGACTGTGTGTGTCTGTGTGTTACCATGTGTGTCTGTGTGTGTCTGTGTCTATGTCTGTGTGTGTCAGTGTCAGTGTGTGTGTCTGTGTATGCGTGCACGTGCGTGTCTGTGCACCTGTCTCTGTGTGCATGTGCACACGTGTGTGTGTGTGTGTGTGTGAGTGTGTGTGTCTGTCTGTGTGTGCGTGCGTGTGTGTGTGTGTGTGTTTGTGAGGGAGAGAGTGTGTGTGTGTGTGAGTGTGTGTGTATGCGTGTGAGAGAGAGAGAGAGAAATTGGGCGGGATTGAGAAGGGGAATGGCGAGGGCAAGGGATGGGAGAGGTAGGAGTGATGTGGGATTTGTTTCCAGCAGAGTAGCTTTCCCCAGTGCAGCAATGTCTACATTATCCCTCATTACAAGAGACACTAGGACATGAATAGCATGATAATGAACGATCTAATGAACGTTTCTTACAGCTGGCTAAAGTATACAATGATTACATTCACAGATGTATCATGTCTGGGTTAGTAAAAGGGCTATTCAGTTACAGCACACAGCGCGCTCAAGTGCTTCCCCAGCAAGACAGTGTCTGAGATCTTTATATCCCCAGGTCACATGCTATGAAAATTCTGAATCTATTATAAAAGAACGGGACATTTAGAAAGTACTGGTAGCATTGTATTTTGAGGATGTGATGAGGGAAAATTGTGGATATGGTGCATTTGAACTTTCAAAAGGCTTCAGGGTGTTCTAAACAAGGAGTTACAGTCTCAGGAAACTGGGTGGACAATTTTGGTCTGGAGAGATTTCTCCAGTGAAAGGCTGGTGAACCCGTGGAGTTTTCTATCAGAGAAGGCTGAAGAGGCCAAGTATCTGAATATATTCAAGAAAGAAATAGATTTCCAGAGGCAAATGGTGACAAAGGGCATGGGGAGAGGGCAGGAGTACAGTGATAAGATGTTGGAGCAGTCATGATCAGCCACCAAATGGCAGAGGAGGTTTGATTGGCTGAATTATTCCTGTGCCTAGTGTATTTCCTATGTTCTGTGTTCTGTGAGAACAGTAATGATACCATGAACATGTCTCTTGATGGTATATTGACATACTGACTATGAGACATATCAGAACAGGGAGTGAGGTAGGTGTGTATGTGTGTGTATGTGTGTGTACATGCCTGTGTGTGTGTGTGTCTGTGTATGCACGTGTGTGTGTGTGTGTGTTGTGCGTGTGTGTGTGTGCGTGTGTGTGTGTCGGTGTATGTGCCTGTGTGTGTGTGTGTGTGT